GGACCAGTAGTCCGCGGAGGAGGTGCCTAATTGAGGTTTTGTTCCTCACCCATCATAAAGCATTTACTTTAGATAACAACGGACGCTTTGGAGAAATGTACGTTTGCTGTGGAGGGCATGACTTGTGCCTCATGTGTGCAGTACATCGAACGGAATATCGCTAAATTGAAAGGTACGCGACAGGGTTTACTCGCTGGTTTTTTTTTCGTCATCTTTTACTTTCTAGGAGTCCAATCCATAGTAGTGGCCTTGATAGCTGGCAAAGCAGAGGTAAACTACAATCCGACGTTGACTAGTGTTGAAAAGCTGATCGCTGAAATGGAAGCGCTTGGTTATCAAGCTTCTCTGATTGATTCGGCTACGTCCGCTTTCAACAAGATCCACTTGGTGGTATGTGGAACTTTAGCTGAGACGAGTATGTGAACTAGAGGTGGTTTTTAGATAGGTGGTTTGAATAGTGAAGGCGATGCCAATCGCATCGAGTCGCATGCTATCTCAAAAAATGGAGTCGAGAGCTGTCATGTTTCACTTGCGACATCAATTGCAACTGTCGAATTCAGTCCTTCAGTTGTTGGTCCGCGTGATCTGATCAGCTTAATAGAGGTAAGATGTTATGAAATCATTGTTTTATCTTTCGATTTGATGTTTGATATCAAGCTTTATGATCACAAAATAATATTGACTTGCTTTTTGCTTGATTTTTCCACCGTTTTTTCTTGCATTTTTTGTGGACTTATCCTGTACGGAAATTTTTGCGCCCGTAAGCTGATCATGCATATTATTAGCACGAAGGGAAGTATATCAGTCAAAATAAGGCGCTTGTGGCCTACTCGCTGGAACAGAGAGTTGCCTTGTTGGAGTTAACATTATCATTCAGGGTCTGGGATACACTGCAGAGCTAGCAAGCAAGGATGATCGCATGAAGCGACTGGATCATACGGAAGAAGTTCGAAAGTGTGGTGGTTTACACAGCTTTGCTATATTTTCAACCCCTTTGGCAACTTTTTGCTTTTCAGATGGAGGACTACCTTTCTCGTCAGCCTTTTATTTGGTGTACCCGTGATGCTCATTATGATTGTGTTTCACTGGATATTGCACACCCCTATGCATCCGGAAAA